GCATAAAAATTTAAATCTCCTTTATAAAGTTAATTTTCTGGAAAAAGACTGGTAAATAGGTTTAACAAATCATTTGAACTTAAAATTAATAAGTTGAGTAGTGAGTTTGTTAAATCAAAACAATTTTTTCAGAAATTTGACACGACACTTGCAAAATTGATAAGTTAAAAGGAGTGATTAAGAACACTAGTAATAATAAAGAATTGGCTTCAATTTCAAAGGATTTGTATTTTCAAAAATCTAAAGATGTTTTTGTGAAAGTTGAAACCAAACATTCTGTTATCACTAGCTTTCCAAAACTTGTTTTAACATGTCATTTTTGTGGAGAAAAAGGTTATATTAAGTATAATTGTCAGAAAAGAAAAATTGATCCTAGAATGAAATTGAAAAATCTGAAGAGTTCGAAAAAGAAAAAGAGAATAAAAAAGAATTCTGAATCTTGTGATACTAGGACAATAGGGAAATCATTGCATAATAAATCTAAAATTGTTTGGGTAAGGAAAGATAATTTTAAATGCCTTGCTATGCACACTGCACTTAGAGCACTAGGTCCATATGGTTGGTACTTTGATAGTGGTTACTCTAGGCATATGACAAGGGATAAAACATTGTTTACCACTTTTAAAGAATGTGCAGTTGGAATTATTACTTTTGGTGATGGTAATACTTCTAAAGTAAGTGGTATAGGTAAAATTAAATTTTCAGGAATTGGGGAGTTAAAAAATATTCTATATGTTAAAGGTTTAACTACTAATTTGTTGAGTATTAGTCAAATATGTGATGAGGAGTTTCAAGACAATTTTACTCAACAAGGGTGTTTTGTAACTAATGAAAAAGGTGAATGTGTTTTGAAATGAACTAGAACTTCTGATAATTTATATGTTGTTTATTCAGATCTTTCACTTATGAATTTTTCTATAATTACTGATTAGGCAATGTTATGACATAAAAGACTCGGTCATGTGAATTTTAATGATTTGGCGAATTTGTCTAATAATAATCTTGTTTGAAGTTTGCCGAAGCTAAAAATGCCTAAGAATGAAATGTGTGGTCCATATTAATTAGAAAAACAGACTAGAGTGTCGCATAAGAGACTTCATCATAGAGTCACTACTAGACCTTTAGAATTAATACATATAGATTTGATGGGTCGCATAACACCCGATAGCATTGGAGGAAAAAGATATTTGTTTGTTATGGTTTATGATTATTCTAAATTTACAATGATTGCATTTTTGCGAGAAAAGTCTTATGCTTTTGTAAATTTCAGATCTATTTGCCAACTGATTAAAAATGAGAGGGGTATCGAATAATTTGTATTAGGAGTGATAATGGAGGTAAATTCGAACCTAAAGAGTTTATTGAATATTGTGATTAAGTATGAATTTTCAGCACCAAAAACACCACAACAGAATGGTGTAGTGGAAAGGAAAAATTAGACAATAGTAGGTATGGCTCGTACTATGCTTTAGGAGAATAAAATTGCTCATCATTTTTGGGCTAAATCAGTACGTACTGCTTGTCATATCCTAAATAAAGTATATCTTAGGCCTGGAACTAAAAAGACTTCATATGAATTGTGGTATGATAGAAAGCCCACTGTTAAATATTTTAGAGTCTTTGGAAGTAAATGTTATATCCTTAGAGATAGGGAACACTTAGGAAAATTTGACTCTGGAAGTGATGAAAGTGTCTTTTTGGGTTATTCACAAACAAGTGGGGCTTATAAGGTTTTTAATCTTATAACCAATGTTGTTATGGAGTCAATTAATATTGTGTTTGATGATACAAGGCCTAAGGTAATCTCTACTCAACTTGATGAGGGGGAGACAAAATTTGAAAATGTAGGAAACAGGGATGAACATACAGTTCACAAGGAAGAAAGAGTTGAGAATGTAGGTGGAGAAGTTGAAGATGTTGACGAGGAATTAGAGTTCAACACTGATGAACCTATAAGAATTCCTGCACATTTTTGAGAAATTCCCACATCTAGTAGTTCTAGGGTTCGAGCGAATCATCCAGTTGACAATGTGATAGGCCCATTGGATAGACCAAGTATTAGGAGTACAATCCGTAGTGATCAGTTAGGACACTCATGTATTGTAGATGATATAGGACACTCATGTTACATGCTCAGTTTGAACCAGAGAATGTTGATGAAGCTTTTCAAAGTTTTGATTGGCTGATGCCTATGCAATAAAAGTTGCTTCAATTTGTGAAAAATGATGTTTAGGAATTGGTGCCTCGACCTAGTGATGTTAACATTATAGGGACCAAATAGATCTTTAAAAATAAACTTGATAAACATGGTCTTGTGATGCGAAATAAAGTTAGGTTAGTTGCACAAGAATATACTCAAGTTGAGGGAATTGATTTTGATGAAACTTTTGCACCTGTTGTTATACTTGAGTCTATTCGTCTTCTTTTTGTTCTTGCATGTCACTTTAAATTCAAATTGTTTCAAATGGATATAAAAAAATGATTCTCTTAATGGTATTTTGCAGGAAGAAGTATATGTAACACAACCAAAAGGTTTTATTGATCTACATAATCCTGATTATGGTTTTCATCTTAAAAAGGCTCTTTATGGCTTAAAGTAAGCACCTAGAGCGTGGTATGAAAAGTTAACTTCTTACCTAATGCACATGGGCTTTTGAAGAGGGGGAACATATAAAACATTGTTTATTTTCAGGAAAAGAAAGAGATTTTCTTGTTGCTCAAATTTATGTAAATGATATTGTTTTTGGTGCTACTTATGATAACCTTGTTCAGGATTTTGCTAAAAATATGAGTATTACTTTTGAGATGAGTATGATTGGTGAACTAACTTTCTTTCTAGGTCTCCAAGTGAAACAACTTGATGATGGGATTTTCAGATCTCGAACAAAATATGCAAATGAGCTAGTTAAGAAATTTGGTTTGCACGATTCAAAGCATGTGCAAATTCTTATGAGTACTTCATCCAAATTGGATAGAGACTCTAATCTTAAAAATGTTGATCCTTCTTTCGATTCCTCTCGTTGCCTTTGTCAATCTAAACATTTTTGACAAAATAATATTAGCATTGTACTTATACTGCGTTTGATGTGCAGGAATGGAATGGAATGTAAGTATGAATGGAATGAGGATGAAAATGGAATGGAATGACCATTCTCATTCTATTATTTGTTGTAAATATGAAATGTGTAGGAATAAAATGATAATAACCATTCTAATGTTTGGTTGGACCAATTTAAAATTTAGAATGGAATAAATTTCAAATAGAGTTCTCCAAAATATCCCTCTTAGTAACAAATAAATTAAATTAACAAAATGACTTTCTTCTATAATTTTTTTTAAATAAATGGTGGCAGTGGCTGTGGTGGATGGCGGTGATGATGGTGGTGGAGGTGGAAGTGTAGTGGTGTAGGTGGTTGTGTTATAAGGCGGCGGCGATGGCTATGGTAGAAGGTGGCGACGGCGGTGTTGGTGGAAGACGACAATGGTTTTAGTGGAAGGCGGTGGCAGTAGTGTGGGGGTGGTGGTGGAAGTTAATAGTGGTGTAAGTGGTCGTGATGGAAGTCAATGGAGGTGACTGTGGTGGTGGTGGAAGATAGTGGAGTTGGCAGTGGTGGAAGGCAATGGTGGCGGTGGAAGGTAATGGAGTTAGCGGTGGTGGTGGAAGGTAATGGAGGTGGCGGTGGAAGGCAGTGGTGGTGGTGGAAGGTAATGGAGGTGGTGGCGGAAGGTGATGGCAATGGCTGTGGCGGTGGAAGGATGGTGGCGGCGGCGGCGATGATGGAAGGTGGTGGTAGTGAAATGCGGTAGCAGTGGTGAAAGGCAGTGGCGATGGTGGCGGTGGTGGAAGGTGGTGGCGGTAGAGAAAGGCGGTGGCAATGGTGGCGGTGGTGGAAAGTGGTGGCGGTAGAAAAATGCAGTGGCGAAGGTGGTGGAAGATGGTAGTTGTGGTGAAAGGCGGTGGCGGTGGTGAAAGGCGATGGCGGTGGCGGTGGTGGAAAGCGGTGGGTGGTGGTGAAAGTCGGTGGCGGTAGTGGAAGGCGGTAGTAGTGGTGGAAGTCGATGGTAGTGGTGGTGAAAGACGGAGGTGGTTGTGTTAGAAGGTAGTGGTGGTTTTTGGACTTGGAACATGAATATTTTTTGAGAAGTTGAGTTTTTAAAATAATTTATTTAGAAATAAAATGGTTATTCCATAGGTTTAGTTGTTGAATAGATTTTCATTTTAAAAAAATGACTATTCCTATCTTAAATCGCATACTAAGTAAATGAATGATTAAAATGAGCATTCCATTCTATTACATTCCTTTGCACCAAATGTAGCAGCGAATTAACACCATGTTATTATTTAGTTTTGTTTTTCTCAATTTTTGTATTTATCATTTTCTAGAACAAGCATAAATAAAGAGAGAAAGTAAAAGGGAGAAAGTAAAAGAAGTTGAACTATAATAAAGGAAATTAATTAGATTGACCTTGTAGGAGGCTCAGGTAAATTATACACAAGTAGATTATTTAGTATTTATTATTTTGATATTTCTTAAGTTGGTTTATTGCTACAAAAAATGACTTTTAAGGAGGCTTAGGTAAATTATGCACAAGTAGATTGTTTAGTATTTATTATTTTGATATTTCTTAAGTTGGTTTATTGCGACAAAAAATGACTTTTAAGTATAAAAAGTTAATAAGGCTTTTATATTATAAAAAAAATGTGCAAAAAATACACCTCCGGTTTAAAAAAGTGTTATAAATCCTTGTACTTTGAAAATTTGCAGCAAATTATCTCCTGATCAACATTTTTTTGACTAATGTTTTATAAAAATTCTCTAAATACACTTAAGGGGATATTTAGGTATTTTAAAAAAAATAAATAAATAATAATAAATAATTCAAAAATAATTAAAATATTTTTTTTGGGATTTTTATAAATTTTAAAAAAATGCCCTTATTTTATTTTGTTTTATTAATATTTTTATTTATTTATGTATATATTTCCCAAAGCTACCAATTTTGTGGAAGCAAGCTTTTGTTTTTTTCAGTCCGTCTGTGCATCAGTTCGCTTTCCGAAACTCACAATCAAGGATTCAGTGATCTCTCCAATGTCGGTACGATCGCTCTCTCTATATATATTATGTGTATATACACATACACATGTATCGACTCTCTTGTTCTGAACCATGGTTGATTCGTTGAGGTCTCACTAGGTTTTGTTATGTGTTCGTTTGGTATTGCAGATCTTCGAATACAATGGAAGTGCCCTAGTAGCGATGGTTGGCAAGAACTGCTTCGCCATCGCAAGTGATCGCCGACTCGGCGTTCAGCTCCAGACCATCGCAACCGATTTTCAGAAAATTTACAAGATTCACCCCAAGCTTTTCATTGGTCTCGCCGGACTCGCCACCGACGCTCAAACTCTGTCAGTAATTTTCCCATGTCAATTTGTTGTATTTTATATATGCCTCTTAAACATGGTTTTTTTTTTTTTTTTTTTTTTTTTTTTTTTTTTTTTTTTTTTTTTTTGTGAGTGTTCTTATTAATTTTAATTTATTGTATTTTATATATGCCTATTGGCCAAACAGAAACATGTTTTTTTTTTTGTCTTCTCTTCTTATTAATTTAAATTTTAAATTTAAATTTTATTTTTTGAAGGTATCAACGGCTTGTGTTTCGGCACAAGTTGTATGAGCTTCGAGAAGAGAGGGATATGAAGCCTGAAACTTTTGCAAGCCTTGTTTCTGCTATTCTTTACGAGAAAAGGTTGGAAAAATCATGGATATTCACATTATAGACATGCAATTACCGTTTATTACAGTGATTAAGTATTTGTATTTAGTTTAACTTAACTGTTTTGGATGTGTTGTACGAATTAAGTGTTGTTAATACAATCCGTATGGTTCAATTTATGAAACCTAAGTTTTTGAATTTAACAATTTTGTTTGTTATGGGTTGCCAGCCCTAACCAATTTGAGTGTGCTTTGGAAGATGTTCTGTTTTTTTTTTTTTTATTTTTTATTTTTTATTATTTTTTTTTTTTTTCTCCCTTTGATAATGATGGTGTTGGATTCTCTTATAGTTCCCCATAGTCTGCCATTGGGTTCTTACAATTCTCTGTCCTACATGGGAAACAAGAATTGGAAAATTCTCTGAGGAATTCAAACTTACAACTTCCCAAAATGTGAGATTAGAACCATTGACAAAGATCAACCAGTAAGAGGAATTAAAATGATAACACAGAGAGTTATGAAAAAAAATGTAAAATTTGTTAGGGAAATTGCATATTAGAAACATATGTTGCATATATATATATATATATATATATATATATATATATAATTGCTACTAAAAATACCTGTTATGTGTTACTGTGCAGGTCAATCACATTGCTACGTAATACGCAAGTGTTCGGAACTAATATGAGACTAATACCATCATTTCAACTTAAGAGTTATAATATGCAACTTTTAGTATGAATTCTTAGCACTATCACATCTAATCTGAGTCATCCAACCTTTAACACCATCATTATTCATTAGGTTTTTCTCAGCATCATTGTCAATTTTTCGGCACATGTTCGTTAGACTTTATTAAACCATGGCTATAGAGCATAAAATTGGTTACCCCCTGCCCTCCTCTCCTCCTCCTCATCTTTTTCCCCCTTACCCCTTTTTACTTTTAAAAAGGGGGAAAAAGTGAGAGTCCAGGAAAATAGGAGAGAGTATATGAGTTGTTTATGATCCATTTGGTGTCTGTAATCAGGAAGCAGTGGGGTAATTTGAGGCCAAAGCAGTATGTTTGCTTTATGTAAAGCGAAATTGCTGACTGCCTGAAGCACTGAATATTGTAAAATAAGATGGAGGCTTACGACAATATATGACTATAACCACCCCGCTCCTCCTTCCCCTCCCCTTTTTCCCCCTTCCCCTCCCCTTTTTCCCCCTTCCCCTTTCTCTTTTAAAAGGGGGGGAACAAAAGTGGAGTCCATGAAAATAGGAGAGAGTATATGAGTTGTTTATGATCTCATTTGGTGTCTGTTATTAGGAATCAGTGGTGTAATTTGAGGCCAAAGCAGTATGTTTGCTTTATGTAAAGTGAAATGCTGACTGCCTGAAGCACTGAATATTGTAAAATAAGTTGGAGGCTTACCACAATATATGGCTGATATAGTCAAGACAACTTGTGACATATACATCGAGCTTGTGATGTAACATGACATGGTATTGGATTGGTGCTTTAATCTTAATCTGACTTGGCCAAGAATTTACACTTGTCCGATTCGTTGAACACTGCTACCAAAGAAATAATTTTTATGTATTATGTGTAAAAAACGCGACATGTTTTGAATAAATCTAACACCTCTGTTAAATAGTTAATACTATTGTCATTTAAGTAGCGCACACCGGCATAGGATACGAACATGACACGATACGATATGGACACACCGACACGTTGATTCCTACAAAAGTAGGATTCGAACATGGCATGAAAATAGTTATACATAAATATAATTTTTATTTCATTATTTCATCTATTGAACAAAATAATTTTAAATTTTAATTAATTTTAAATTCCTATAATAAAATATTATTATAGTAAACATACTACTATTCTTTTTTCTTTTTCTTTTTTTTACCTTCATTCCTCTTGTATATTGGAATTTTGAATGACAGGTTTCATATTGTGGAGAAGTATAATGCTTTTGCTATGTGTTTTTCTTTTTCTCTATTTTTACTTTTTTGTAAATGTTCTTAACTGCAGGTTTGGTCCATATTTCTGCCAGCCTGTGATTGCTGGATTGGGAGATGAAGATAAGCCCTTTATTTGCACAATGGATTCAATTGGAGCCAAGTATGTTGATTTCTTCCCACCTTCATTTTTTCGTAATTTTAGAATTACCAGCATTCCTGGGATTCTAGCAGCTTCAAGTTTTACTTTTTGTGTGATGGTTATACATTAATTTGCTCCCAATTTTTCATTTTATGTTTAATTAGCTTTATTTTTTTAATATATGTTTGAACTTTGAAAGATGCTTTATTTTTTATTATTTTTTAAACTTATTAAAAAAAATATATATCTTTGAAAGATGCATGTATTAAATTGATCATATTCTTTATTCAGATAGAATACGGTGGAGAGAAATGAACTTACCTATTGATGTATACTTAATCCAGTTTTCTACACTTCTTTTTGTTTATTACTTTTGGTAGGTGATATTCACATTCCTCTTTTTGATAAATACACTCTTTCTTTTTCCTTAAAATAATTGACAAATATGTCCTGGGTACTTGATTGTCTTATTCATGAATAGGGACAAAATGCAATTTCTTTATAACAATGGAGTGTTATAAAATAGAGGGGTGCGAATAAAACCTCCCTTATTTTTTCTGATAAGTTCTTTTGCACTATCATTGTGGTATCATTCCTCATATGTTGTAATCATTGATCTATAACTAGTGAATTTTCAATACTTGATAGTTTCTTAATTGTTTGAGTTGAACTTTTATGATGGTTGACGTTAGAGTTCTTTGTGGTCTTTAACTAGCTGTAGCGCCAAATTTGATGGTTTATTGGTTAGGAAAGGCTTAATTTGTTCTAACAGAGTTCCTCTTGATTGTTGTTTTATTGCAGTCTGGGATAGTAGGACACAAAATAATAGTTCTGTCTATCTTTTTTTTTTCCAGATTGAAAAAATCTAAGTTAGAGGTTAACGGATTTATATGACAGGTCTTTTCTTTAGTGCATGCACCTTGATTTACAACAATGAATATCCTTTCTTTTAGATAAGCAGTTTTCTACCCAAGTTAAATACAATATCATGCTTCCAATAAAATAGTGCCTTTTCACTTTTCTATTAATGAATAAAGGGACAAATCAATAATGACTCAACAATTAAAATTTATATTGAGAGTCTGTGTTTGTGCGTGTGTGTTCATGTGGTCCTGGAATATCTTCAGCATCAATAATATTAAAAAATCAAGATTTATTAGTAACTCTCTTATGATTTGCATCTTCATTCACTTCCTAATAATGTCTTTTGGCATGATATTGTTTTAAATGTTCAAAGTTTCAAACATTACCCAACTGCAAAGTGTGTTCTTATATAAGCTGTAGATGGTGCTTGACATGGTTCAGCCCAATATTATTTATGTGGTCCTGCAATATATTTAACATCAATAATATTTATAAAAAAAATAAAGATTTTATTAGTAACTTTCTTATGTTTTGCATCTCCATTCACTTCCTAATAACTTCTTTTGGTGTGATATTGTTTTAATGCTCAAACATTTGCCAATTGCAAAGTGTGGTGTTATATAAGTAGTATTTGGTGCTTGACATGGTTCAGCCCAATATTATTTATTGAATTATTCAAAATTTTATTATTTGAGTACTTGGTTGATGAATATATGAGAAAATTGTGGTATTGATACCATTCTTCATGTGGTCGAGCCCAAGTAACTGGGAGAAGGCTTTGTTGAGTTGAGTTGAGTTTAATGTTCTTTATATATTTTTATTCATTCTGAATTTCAGGGAACTTGCAAAAGATTTTGTTGTTGCTGGCACTGCTTCAGAGTCTCTTTATGGTGCATGTGAGGCAATGTTCAAGCCTGACATGGTTCGTCCTAATTTTAATATTTACTAGTTTTCCAAATGAAATATAAATTGAATTTTTGCATAAATGTGCTCAGATTTTAGTGCTTTTAATGATATATGGAACTTTTTTTTTTTCTTAGTTGGTACTCACAAACACATGCCAATATGGAGGCTTGAACCCCTAACCTCCCTTTGGGAAGTAAGGGCCTGATATATGGAACTTTAAATATACTGGAAGTCTGGAACACTTAATTTTCAAGAATCAAGATATTTAGCTGTATTCCGAGATCTCCACGTTTGAACTTGATTAATAGATAAGAAAGCATGCAGATGCAGGAACATTTAGAGAATAAATGTTTCATCATTATGGAGACATCAAGTGTATGTCTGATTAGGGAGGAACTCTTGTTAATCTGTATGTATGATTAGTGAGGAACTCTTATTATTTAACAATTAAGGGCTCCTCTCTGGTCTAGGCATCCATTATGTTTTTAATTGCAAATGCAATAACACCATGTGCAGGCCCACACATTAACGAGGGTAGAGAAAAAGGGGGAAGGGATGGTGGGCGGGGGGGTGCGTTAATGGGTGCTGCAGACCTACTTGTCAGTCACTATTGGTGGTAGAAGTCAATTCTTGTGCATATTAATTGATCTATCTCTAAGATTTCTCAAGTTGTATATAACTGAGTTTATCCTTTCATTTTTAGTGACTAATACATCTCAACATCCTCTTGGCCATTCCCTTTCTATCAGATGATGTTTCCATTACTGGTTTGAGTCAATTTTCCCTTCATTTTGTCTTAGTTTGTTCTATCACTAAATCTCACGAGCATGTATACTGCTCATTCCATCCTATATTGTATTGCCAGTTATCCATCTTGACATTTTCATTTCAGCCATACTCAATTCATGGGCATGTGGTTTCTTGACAGCTCAACATCCATTGTCTCAAACATTCGTCCTATTACAGAATCATATGAAATATTACCTCAAGTAATAAGTAGTCAGACTGCATCCTACATTTTATGAGATGTCCAAAAAGGCTAAACAGAAAGACCATAAGATTCAAGATTTGATAATCTTGGAAAGATCATACACGTTGAAGTCTATTTCCAATTATCCATTTCGTTGATGACTTATTGCTTTCCTCATTATGGAAGTACCTTTTTCATCTTGACGCAGGAGCAACGAGGAAAGCTAGTATCAAGGGATATTAAGTTTTTATATATCAATATTCTAGTAATTTACACACTAGAACTGTTCATTCTGTCACGCATCTTTCTATTTCTTTTTATGGTTAGAATTAATTAAGTCATTCTAGGAGTAATAAGTTTTATTTGCTGAAATTTTTATGATGTAGGACTACAAGAGCAGTCTTAAATAGCTAAAACTTACATAATTCAGTGGCTGAAAGTTCAAACAATCAGGGCTGAAATTTGGAGATTTGATAGTAGAAATGTAGAAAGATGAAGGAGAACAGAAATAGAATGAGCTGCCTATTGGAATCACACCAATGGGTCTAGGGATTACACCTAGAGAAGGTCTCACACCCTCATATTTTTTGATTCACTCACAAAAAAATTCTAAAGGTATTTTTATTCATTCATTCACTCCCTCAACCAAGATTACACCTATCCCTTTGTAGGATTTCTACTCATGCATCTTAGACTTACATGGAGGTTAACTCATGAGTTTTAGACTTACCTCATAAAGACTCGCAACTCTTTCAATTCCTAACTTGTGACCTAATAACATAAAAGGAAATAAAAACCTCACAACTCTTCCAATGTCTAACTCTTGCTTTAATAACATAAAAGCAAATAAAAACCACCTTAATTGCATCATAATTGCTCACCAAACTCATAAACAATGCAACTTGACCAAAGCACCCAACTATTCAAGACTCCAAGTGGAGCCACATCATCTAACCTATACCAAATTATGGCTCCACTCATAGAAACCTCTTTTTTGTGCCTTTTATACACCTTTAAAGATTGTTGTCATTGATCTCCATCATTTTTATTTTCAAAGGAGTTGATATCTTCTTTTTCCTTTTACAAGTAAGAAATTTTTTATACTTAAAATTTAATTAATAAAAAAGGGCATGAATAGGATAGAGGTGAAAGGGTTTGGGTGAGAGTCTTAGAGTAGAGTATTAAGCTTTTAAAAATGTTTTATTTTAAATTTTTTAATGGTTATTATTCTCCTAATATTAATATAACATATATTAGGGGTTGACTGGTGTTTGACTTCTATCTCAACTTTTCTTTTCTTTTTTGACGCCGGAGTCTTCTACTCCGGTGTCTATCGTTCTCTTTTTTCTTTTCTAGTGTTGGATCTTTGGTTTCTACAAATCATGTTACGTTCGTATCTCAAAGTAGTGACCCTACCATGTCTCAATCTCTACGGGAAGATCAAAAGTTGTTTAATTGATACAGATGTGGTCCTTAGGGTTGATCATCATAGCATTGCAGAACGTGAATCCGTCTTGAAATCTTGTCTGGTTGGTCGTTTTGATCGTGATGTGGGGTGCACTAAAAGGATCGAGGAGTGGGCGACGAAATCTTGGCAGATCTCGTGTGGAGTAAAAATTTCAACCCTACCTGACGGCCTTTTCCTGTTCCGTCTACCATCGGAGGCTGAAGCTTGCAGGGTTTTGAATGTGGGGAGGAAGAGATGGGGTGAAGCTTCCTTACACATCGGCAAGTGGGATTTTGCAATGGGTTGCTCAGCCGTGGTTGATCGCGATAGGTTACGAAGGGTGGTGTTGTTCGGTTTGCCACTCCATCTCTGGTGCCACAAACTGTTCGAAGCCATCGGAGACCTCTGCGGTGGGTTTAGAGGAGTGGAAGCGGATGATCAAGCGAGAGGCGAATGAGTTCTCCTCCTTGTTTCCGCCGGAGCTGTGGTGCCGAAGTTTGTTTTTGTTGAAGACCAACGAGTAGCCTTCAAGATCAGTTTGATTGAGGAAACCTCACCTCGCATCCTTCCAAAATCCTATTATGGGTTTGGTGAGGTTTCTCCCCTTCCGTCTGATGGAGAATTCAACGGTGGCCGTCATCGGCATTTGCAGACTCAACTGAGTTCTCAAAGAAAGAGAATAGTGTTCGCCAACGCGCCGGCAGCGAGTGAGGAAGACAGATATCCGAGGCGTACGCATAACGCCTGTCATCAACGCTTTTCAAAATCCTCGTTTTGATCGCTTTGATGGTAATCAACCACGTGGCTTCACGAGGGCCTTTCATGTAGCGGACTCAAATGGGCGTAAGAATGGGCCTCTTTTTTCTGGGCTGAACAATGGGCCGTTAGGTTCTCATGGACCACATGCTACACTTAAAAGGAATGTTATGTGGAGGCCCAACAATAAGCTAACCATTTCTTTCCTCAATGATAAGCCCAGCCCACATTTGCCCCAGTCGAGCTGAAACAATGCTTAGTTACGCATTGGGTCATATGAAGACTTAAAAAGAATGGTTCATTGGGGGCCAAAAATCAGAATTCAGTTTCTTTTCTTATACAAAACCTAGTCCAGCCACCGAACCAATTATTGATCATATACAGGGTTGTCTTCCTCATGCTCCCTATGTGAATTTCTGGAACTCATTGGACAAAAGGAGATGGATGAAATTTAGCGATGATGAGGCTGGTGTGGGAACAGACAAGAAGGGCTTTCGTCATCTACAGTGTTATGCTGATACCTCCACTAACCCAGGTATGTCCTCCGTGTCTCATTCTCAGAGCTTCCTTAAAGCACCTTCTTCTTCTTCCTCCCTTTCTGGAGTGGTGAGGGGCGATGTTGAGATGTCAATGGAGAAGAATTGTGTTATGTCTGTTGTGCCCTCGGCACTTGCAGAAGAGTATGGACTGGCTACAGAGAAGATTGCTAGCGGAATTGTCACTTCAGGCCAAGCTGATTCACTCAATTGTGAAGTTCAGGACTCATCAGGTCTTGGTCCGAGTTGGGAGAGACCTTCACTTTCAGCTGTCTAATGAGTCAACCATGGCTTTGCTCAAAGAACTTCGCCTTTATGTTGCTTTGAAAGGTTTTAACTGCATGTCGTCTGACGGGGAAGAGGAGAATAAATTGGTTAGTTTCTTGAGCAGTGGACTGGGAGACTACAATACAGATTCTGACTCGTTTTCAGAGCCTTTTGATTTTGGAAGGGATTGTGATGAGGAGGTGGCTACTGATTCGGTTTCTATCCAAGAAGTCTGTTCCAACGAGTTTGTACCTTGGATGGAGAATGATTTCTCTGAAGTGATAGAGGAGGAACCTTTGGCAATTGAGAGATCTGGTTGTTCAGTAACAAATGTTGATTTGGGCAAGGACTGGATGATTGAAAACATAGGAGCTGCTAGTGAGTTGCTAGGTGTTTCTTCATAGGGGAACAGTAACCATACACTTTCCATTCTTCAAGCAATAGTGGAAGGCAGAGAGGTAGCTGTGACTGAAGAGGTAGTGAACCTGAGGCCTTTATCGTCCTGGAAAGGGGCACATGAGATCAAGAATCTTATTTCTGAAGTCAATTATGAAGGAAAGAAAGGGGTGGTGAAGGAGAGGGGAAGGACTAGGAGTTGGAGCGCGAAGAAAGGAGGAGGGGAGATCACCTTATTTGGTTTTTAATGAAGCTACGAATTATTTCTTGAAATGTTCGTGGTCTCAACGACCCGAATAAAAGGAGGGTGGTAAAGGTTGCTTTGAGGAAGTGGGGGGCCCAAGTTGTTTGTTTGCAAGAAACAAAGTTGGCATCCATTTCGGATGGGGTGGTTAGGAGTTTGTGGGGAGGAAGGTTTGTAGAATGGGAGGTCTTGAATGCTCTAAGTACTTCGGGCGGTATCTTAGTTATGTGGGATTGTAGATGGGTGTCTCGGTTGGATGTGTGGGTGGGGAGATTCTCAGTGTCTTGCAAGTTCAAATTGGAAGAGGACAATTTCAGTTGGGATTTCACTGGGGTATATGGACCAGTTGTTGATATTGATCGGCCTTTTTTTTGGGAGGAGCTTAATCATGCTCAAGAAATGTGGTCTCTTCCTTGGTGTTTGGGTGGGGATTTCAATTCTGTTAGATTCCCATTAGAGAGGTCCACAGGAGGTAGGAGGTCTTCTAAAATGGATCAGTTTTCTGATTACATTGACGAGCATCTTCTCATTGATTTACCAATAGAAGGTGCAGCCTATGCATGGTCAAATGGCAGGGACCAGTCACTTTTTCAAGGCTGGATCGTTTCTTGATTTCTGGGGAGTGGGAAGAGAAATTCCCGGACGTCATTCAAGCAGTTTTAGCACGGGTCATATCTGATCATGTTCCTTTGGTTTTAGATTGTGGAGGTTTGAGTTCTCAAAGGTCACCGTTTCGATTTGAGAATATGTGGTTAAGAGCGGAGGACTTCCAAGGGAAAGTTCAGTCTTGGTGGGAGGGAGGAGTTGTCATAGACTCATCTAGCTTCATGTTAACTACAAAGTTGAAGGCTCTCAAATTCGATCTTAAGAAGTGGAATAAAGACGTTTTTGGGAATCTTGAATGGAGAAAGAGTAGAGTCCTTGCTTATTTTTATGAGATTGATCGCCTAGAAGATGCGGGTGGGGATGTGGAGATTTTGCGTTCTAGAAGAGCTTCTTGTCAGGCAGCTTTTGCTGAGATTGCTAGTATGGAAGAGATATCTTGGCAGCAAAAATCCCGGGCTCTTTGGCTAAAAGAGGGAGATCGCAATACAAATTTTTTTCACAGACTCGCTAATGCTCATAGAAGAAGTAATCATATAGGACGTATTTGGGTGGAAGGTGTTGAGATGTGCAGGGAGGAAGATGTGCGTAATGGGATTGCTGCTTTTTATTAGAAGCTTTATACCGAACCGCTTGCTTGGAGACTTAAACTTGATGGTCTTCATTTCGAGGCCATTTCCGAGATCGATAGGGAAGGGCTTGAGATTCCTTTTATTGAAAAAGAAGTTCTAAAGGCCTTATCTAGTTGTAATGGGGACAAAGCTCCGGGGCCAGATGGGTTCACTATGCAGTTTCTTTTGGAAAGTTGGGCAGTTGTGAAAAACGATGTGATGGGCACTTTTCAGGAGTTTTATTCTACTAGTGCCTTTGAGAAGTCGCTTAATGCAACTTTCATTGCCCTTATCCCTAAGAAGGGAGGTGCTTTTGACATTAAAGACTTCCGTCCTATCAGCTTAGTGGGATGTATCTACAAGCTTGTGGCTAAGGTCCTTGCTCTTAGGTTGAGGGGAGTGATGGATGGGATTATTTCAGATTCCCAGAATGCTTTTGTTAGAGGAAGACAAATTCTTGATTCAGTTCTTATTGCAGGTGAATGTGTGGACTCCAGATTGGTGTTCCCGAAGTCTTATGCAAACTTGACATTGAGAAAGCATATGATCATGTGAATTGGAATTTCCTTTATTTGCTTCAGAGAATGGGGTTTGGATGTAAATGGAGGAAATGGATTGAGACACGCCTTTCGTCTGTCAAATTCTCTGTTCTTGTGAACAGGTCTCTTGCTGGTTTCTTTGGGTGTTCTCAGGGTTTAAGACAAGGAGAATCCCTGTCATCTTTCCTCTTTCTTATTGTTATGGAGGGATTAAGCAAACTTATGTGAAGAGCAGTGGATCTTGATCTTATCAAGGGCTTTATGGTGGGAAGAGATCCTGTCCGTCAGATGGTGGTCTCTCATTTACTTTTTGCGGATGACACCCTGGTTTTCTGTGATGCTAATGTGTCTCAGCTTAGATATCTGAGGTGCATTTTGGCTTGTTTTCAGGCTGTCTTTGGTTTGAAAGTTAATGTGGCTAAAAGTTTGCTTGTTCCGGTTGAAGATGTTCAGGATATTTCATCTTTAGCGGAAGTCCTTGGGTGTAGGGTGAGTTCTTTTCCAATTCTGTATTTGGGCTTACCTTTAGGGGTTTCCTCTAGAACGGTGGGGAGTTGGGACCCTGTGATTGATAGGTATGCGAAGAAATTAGCAGGATGGAAAAAGCAATACTTGTATAAGGGAGGGAAAGTTACGCTTCCAAATTCCATGCTCTGTTGCTGATAGGATTGAAAAAATTCAAAGGGATTTCCTTTGGGGTGGAAGAGGTGATGAATTTAAGTATCACCTTGTCAATTGGGAACAAGTTTGCAAGCCAATGAAGTTTGGTGGTCTTGGTATCAGAAGATTGGTCCCCTCTAACCAAGCTCTTCTGGGAAAATGGCTGTGGACGTACGAAAGGGAAAGACATTGCCCTTGGCGAAGGCTTGTTTCATGCCGATATGGGGAAGAGAGTGGTGGTTGGTCTACTCATCCGGTTTCTCTCGTGGGAGGAGTTGGGGTGTGAAAATTCATAAGGAAGGGATGGGACACTTTTTCTACTCACATCAGATTCAAAGTTCATGATGGCAGATGTGTACGCTTTTGGGAGGATCTTTGGTGTGGAGACCGGCCTTTATCTTGTTTATTTCCTAGTTTATATAGTATTGCAGTTGATAGACATGCCTACGTAGCCAATTGTTATCAACTTGATAGCAGAGGGATTACGTGGGACGTGCACTTTCGACGCTCTTTTCAAGATTGGGAGGTGGACGAGGTATGTGTTTTCCTAGTTTTGTTGTACCGACAGGAGGCAGTTGGCAGAGGTACTGATGATATGACATGGATTCCCTCTTCCCACGGTCGCTTTGAAGTTTGTTCCTTATTTTTATGTCTTTCTGATTTCGATATTGTTGATTTTAAATGGAAGACTATTCGGCGTTCTATGGCTCCAACTAGAGTGGCATTCTTTGTTTGAACCGCTGTTTGGAGTAAGATCCTTACGATTGATAATCTAAGGAAAAGGGGCAATTGTCTTGTTAACTGGTGTTACCTGTGCAAACAAGATGGTGAGTCAGTTGCTCACATTCTCATGCATTGTCCTATGGCGAGGGATTGTTGGAATCTTATCTTTTGTCTGTTTGGTATGTGTTGGGTTATGTCTCGTTATCCTAAGGATTTGATTTGTATATGGAGAGGATGTCGTGTGAATAGTGTTGTTCGCGATTATTGGAGTGTTGTACCACATTGTGTTTGGTGGTGCATTTGAAGGAGAGGAATAGTAGAATGTTTGAAGAGAAAGAATCGTCCACGACGATTTTGAAACTTCATATCATACGCTCTCTTTTCAGTTATGTGAAGAGGAAGTCATGTTCTTCTTCCGAAGATTTAATTATTTTTTTAGCTTCTTTGGAATCTTAATCCCTAGTTCCACTTTTGTATAAAGGATGTGTTCTCCTCTTGAACGCCTTTTTATTTCAATTATTACTCATCAAAAAAAAAATTTAATGGTCAACCTTGGCTGATGCTTGTTTACTTGTGACACTCCTCAACTTTGGCTTAATAGTTTGCTTGTGTACCAACAACATCACACGCTTAAATTTCAAGTTTGATTTTTTAATAGACCCAATCAAACAATACAAGGCTCAACTTGTGAATCCTTGTGGGTAGGTCTTGCACAGCTGTAGCGGATTCACTGTTTAGGGGACTGGCCAAAAGATAAACGTATTAGCACTTAAAGGAAAAGTTGATCCTTAATTTAGAGCTAGTTTGTTAATTTTTTATGTGTGTTGTATTCCTAAGTTGCATTATTTAAGGTAGGAAATTCTGGATTTTAATAAAAGTGAATATTGGATTAGGCTAATTATGAAGTTAGGTAAATTCTTAAATTTTCTCAAGCTCAAGCAAACCCCCACACCAAATTTTATGATGGGAACAGCATTAGCTCACGGGGAAGTAAAAATCTGCCTGCAGCATTTTAGTTTCCTTTTTTTATTTGCAATATGATTTTCCCGGCATAGTTTAATACTTGAGAGGTCAAATAAGAAAAACAATAAAGTTCAACAATTTAACGTCAGTTGTGTAGCTTTTACATGCTTCATAGGGTATCATGGAAGGTGTAAAATGGAAATGACATAGAGTGAACATGAATGTCAGCCGGACATGCATGTTTCTAACTTCTTTTAGCACCACTGATAAAGTAAGAGAAAAAGGGGGAAGAAAGCTCAGTGATCTGTATCATTTTTAGTTTAGATATCCTTTTATTTGCTTAAAGAGTTGAATCGTGCTTTCTAGAGTTCAATTTCCTGATCATGTTTTGGATGCATGTTAAGAACTGTGTTAAAAGGTGTGTGTTTTAGCTATAATAGAGGGAGAGAATAACTAATACATGGTTCAGATTTCTTGCTGATCAACTTGAAGTCTTTGTGCTGGTTATTGCTGTTATAACTGTTGTTTTAACCATCATACAGGAACCTGAAGAATTGTTTGAGACCATCTCTCAAGCACTGTTATCATCAGTAGATCGTGACTGTCTGAGTGGTTGGGGAGGACACGTCTATATTGTGTAAGCCTCTTTATTCCTTACTTCCTTCACATTGATTAATGCAATTTGTGGAATTTTTTAATAATTACTTATGAGCGTCGTGACACTCATAGAATGCAAGTGCAAGACCATAATGACTGTAACTTAAGAATCGGTGAGCTTGTGCTAATTTTTGCGAGAATCTAGTCATTGATTTGTTTAATATTCTTGAGAAATATGCTGTGGTGTTCATAGATTTTGAGTTACAGATCTCAGGAGCCAGAATGAGAATTTAGGTCTTTTTTTTGAAAAAAATAAAAATAAAAAAAAAATAAAAAAAAATATTATTAGGTCTGTTTAAATACAGACATTGAAGAAAAGTAATCTACTGCCCGTTGTTGGTGGAGGACAATTAGGAAATAATCCGTGTTCTTATTAGGATGAGGATTCATATTGTATGATATAATATTGATAAGTTTTAATATTTAAAGGATTGGATTCACTTGGGATGAAAAGAGGTTTGCAGCACAAAGACCTTTTTACTGCAGGTGCAATGAGTGTCCAATGACCGGGACCTCTTAGAATTCCAAGTCTTTACTTGTATAAAAAAAACTTATGCTGCCTCAACCCTTTAGATGCCCGTATTTAGCCCCTTGCTGATATTATTATGATAATTGCATTCCCTTCAATTGGAAGAACATTAACATTTAGGGCCACATACTCTTAATTGTGCCGTATTTTTTTTATTATTCTCCGTTTTTTTTTGTTTTGTTTTGTTTTTTTTAATTTCCCCCTCCCCTCAGTTCAGAATCTTCAGATTCAACATTAGTCTACCAATGGTATTAACATTTTAGTTCTTTTTCAGTGAAACATTGATAAGATATTTTGTGGGGTTCTGTTTTTTTGCTTTGATGCAGTACACCAACTGAAGTAACGGAGAGGATCTTGAAGGGAAGAATGGATTGATGTTTTTCTACGAGGGCCGAAAGCCCATCCTTTTGTAATTCCATTGAGATTCTAGTTTCTCTCTTCCTCAAAATAGCCTGCAGATGAAGGTGGAGCTTCTTAGCGTTCTTTCGTGACCCGGGGGCCTGTTATCTGCGGTCCTTGATGTTGATGGTACTCTGATAATTTTCCTGGTTTTGATTAATATTGCAATTCCTTTAAATTTATAGAAGATCGGAAGTGGTTAAGTTAATGCATTTGTTAATTTGTACATGGCCTCTATTTTTTATTTTTTAATTTAGTACAAATGCATGCTCTTTTTTGTCTGATTGGGTCGTTTACATTTTTATGGGTTTTTTTTTTTTTTTTTTTTTTTTTTACTTTTTATTTTGCAGTTGCCCATTATTGCTTTGATTTCTCTCCCCCTAGAACCGGAAAGAGGAGTGTAGGTATGTATTGTGTTGAGGATGGTGAGTGTTGATTGTTTCGAGCCTGAAGGAACATGGAGGAAGAATTACGGATATGTCCAACATAAATAAGTGTTTATATATATATATATATATATATATATATATTATTGATCTTTACTGTTTATGATGTTGAGCCTACTTGAATATCCCAATCTATTTTATTTTCACTTTGTATTTTTATTAAATTAAGTTAGTAGAGCGTCTAGTTCACCGAATAAGTGTGCTTAGTAGAGAGTTTTGTTTTCTGAGTAAGTGTGTTCGCGTTCCCCCCTTCCCTATATTGTCAGGGAAAAAAATCATATTAATGTAGCCCGTTAAGAATTTTTTAAAAAAAAAAAAAAAAATTAATATAATCACTTCCAATTATATTCATTTTGGTATAAAAAAAAAATTACATGAATGGATCATTTTCAATAGTTTTCTTAATATGTTAATTATGTTAAATGATGAAAGTAACAATATTTGAGTCTTAAAATTTACTTTCTAGATTCAAGAAAAAAAAAACAAAAAATTACTTTCAAGATTGGTCTAGGGTCTGCTATCAATTTATTTCATTATTGTTGCGTTCAAATTGGAAGCGTTGTGGATTTTGAGTCTTTTTTAGTTCGGTCCTCTTAACACTTACAGAATCGAATAATTTTTAATTGGTTATTTTTAATAAATATAATTAAGTTGAGGGTTTTATTTTTTTATTTGTTGTATAATTGACCGATTAATGAAATATTAAGAGAAATTATGTTTGTTTTGTTTTGTTACTTTATTAAATGATGTTGCTGATATGTCAAAATTTAATCTTAGTATCCAATAGGAATCTGCCAACACATCACCATAAATATCACAATCACTACCGGTAGTTCATGTTAGCAGCCAAACACCTCCTTACGCTGTTGTTTTTTTCTCTCTCTAAGCTCTCCAACCGTACGCTATCAGCAACTTTAACAAGTTTGTTGCATTGTTATTTATTATCAATTGTTGTTCATGTAATTCTTTGTTGCTCTGGGCAACAAAGAATACATGCTATGCTGCTTACACGTTCTGTAAAATAAATATATTGTATTAAATATAAGAGTAGTGATATTTGTACCGAATATTTATAATGAATTTTTAATTGAATAATTTTTAATTAATTATTTATATCAAATATAACTAAATTGAGGACTCTATTTTCTTATTTATTGTAGAATTGACCAATTAAAAGAATAAATCTAATAATTCACTGTAATTATTTCTTATAAGAATTATTTTTTAAAATATAAATATAAAATTTGATTAGGAGTACGGATTGTTAAAGACTAAAGGATGTTTAAATCTTAAATGTGCATCTTACTTTATGAAACAAAATCAAGATAAAAATATCATAGTCATGTAAAATAGAAGATAAAAATATCACAGGCATCTTATTTTATGAAACAAAATCAAGATAAAAATATCAGAGCAATGTACCAATGTGTCCAAAAGCTTGAACTGCTAAAACATGTCCTCAAAATCAACTACAAGAAGGAATTTACTGATATTGAGTCTAAGCTACATTTAGTCAAACTGGAGTTGGACTCTTGCCAACTTGATCTTGACTCCAATCCAAGCAATGATCTCCTAAGGCACCTTGAGAGGTCACTTACCAATGAATACCTTAGGCTAGCTAAACACCAAGAAGATATGTTGAGGCAAAAATCAAGAATGACATGGTTGAAGCTGGGTGATTGCAACTCTTCTTACTTCCACAAATCCCTCTCATCCAGAAACAATAGAAAAGAAAATTGTCTCCCTTACTACTGATAATGGTCAAGTCCTAACTGATAGGGAAGCCATCAAAACAGCAGTTGTTTCCTACTTTCAAAACCTTCTTGGCTGCTCCCCCCCTCTAACACACAACATTAGTGATCTTCAGCCATTCATCACCAGATTGGTACCTGCTCACCTCCATAGTTTTTTGGATGAGGCCCCATCCCACAATGACATCCAATCATGTATGCTTAAGCTCAGCAAAGACAAAGCCCCTGGTCCAGATGATTACAATGCAACATTCTTTCAAAAAGCTTGGGGAATAGTTGGAAGAACTGTCACTAAATCTGTACTTGAATTTTTCAGAAATGGGAAGGCTTTCTGAAGCTAACAACACATTCATTGCATTAGTTCCTAAATGCCAAAACCCAACTTCCATCCATGATTACAGGCCTATCTCCTGTTGCAACTCCATATACAAATGCATTGCAAAGATCCTGGCATACAAGCTGCAACAAACCCTCCCTCACATCATTGATATGTCACAATCAGCCTTCATAAGTGGCAGGAAAATCACAGATCCAATTCTTCTTGCTCATGAACTACTCAGAGGGTACCACACTGAATCTTCCACTGCAAAATGTGCCATTAAAATCGATTTAAAGAAAGCTTTTGATTCTGTCAAATGGGACTTCATCCTAAGTTGTCTCACTCTTGCCAACTTCCCAACCAAGTTTATCTCCCTCATTCAGGCCTGCATCTCCTCACCCTCTTTCACCATTGCTATAAATAGAGAATTTCAAGGGTACTTCAAAGGAAAAGGGGTTTGAGACAAGGTGACCCCATTTCACCATTCTTGTTTGTCATTGTAATGGATGCATTATCCTCTATCATAAATGATTATGTTAGAAGATCTCATACTTTCAAGTTCCATTGGAGATGTGAACCTTTGAAGATCACACACCTTTCATATGCTGATGATCTCATGCTATTCTGTCATGGAGATATTTCATCTGTTTCAGTGCTGAAATCAGACCTTGATCATTTCTGTTGCATGTCTGGATTGGATATTAATTTCTCTAAAAGCAGTATATACTTCTCTGGAACTGATCCTTATACAGAAGCTGCAATCACATCCTTACTTGGCATAGGGATTGGATCCCTCCCAGTAAAATATCTTGGGGTTCCTCTCATTTCTACTAACCTCAAATCATCTCACTGCAGCCAACTTATTGAGAAGATCACAAATAGAATCTCACATTGGTCTTCGAGGTCTCTTTCTTATGCAAGTAGACTCCAACTTATAAAAGCAGTACTGGTTTCAACTTAAGTCTATTGGTCAAGTATCTTCATTCTCCCTAAAGCAGTTATCAATGAGCTCAATCAAATTTTCAGAGCATTCCTATGGTCAGGGCCTGAAATGAAGTCTAGCAAAGCCAAAGTGAATTGGAGTAAAGTCTGCCTGCCAAAAGAACAAGAAGGTCTTGGCATTCCAAATTTGGAGCTGTCAAACAAAGTTGGCATTCTAAGGTACATTTGGGACCTACATTCCAATGATTCTGGAAGAATTTGGATCACTTGGTGTAGAATTCACCATATTAAAGCAAGGAATTTTTGGACAATCAACTTTCCACATCCGTACTCCTGGAGTTGGAGGAAAATTCTGCAGCTCAGACATCTTGCTAGGCTACTTCTTAAGCACAGAGTTGGCAATGGCTTATAGACTTCTTTCTGTTTTGACAACTGGTCCATAGGAGGTCCTCTTTGTTCTTGCTTTCCAAAAAGTATTCTCACCAATGCAGGCTTCAATGAATCAATCACAGTGGCCACATTTATTCAAAAGTCATCTTGGTCATTCCCTCATGCCTCACTTCTGCAATCCCAGAGCTATTAATTCTACATCCAACTTGTTCTTTAAAAAGTGATAGCAAACATTGGATAGCATTTCCAACTGGCAAGTTCAGCTTCAAGCATACAACATCATACCTCTCAGAGCACTCTCCAGTTGTTTAGTGGCACAACTTAGTCTAGATATCCCTTATAATCCCTCGTATGAAGTTTAATCTATGGCTTGCAGTTCAGTCCAGACTACCCACTCTAGACAGCAGATCCATGTCCAACCATGTTAACATATGTATTCTATGCAATTCCCAACCAGAATCTCACCAACACTTAGTCCTCACTTGCTGTTTTGTCTCCCCTATTTGGCGCTACATCAAAATCAAATGCCAATTCTTCACTGCGGTTATAAATTGGGATGAATTGATTCACCTGCTATCTGTTCACTAGAAGCGAAACTCTCTAGCAAATCTCCTTCGCAAATTATGTTTCTCATCAATGGTCTACCACACATGGTAAGAACGAAATGATCGAATCTTCAAAGGGAAATCTTCTACCCAAAGAATGGTTCTCTCAAGAATCACTTCCACCATCACTGCTATTCTCAAATTGGGTTTCCTTCGTGATTGCTCCTACTCGAGACAAATTCCCCTCGACTGGAATCTTCCTCCCAATTGCTATCGTCCTCTACCTAGACCACCTGACTGAGTATTGCTGGCGTCTTCCGGCGTTCTCCACTAGGGTTCAAACCGGATTGTCCTCTAATAACCTCCATTAACAGCCAAACATGTCGTTAATTGCTGTTATTAGATTAGAAAGTTGGTCTTGGGCTCTCCTCAATTGGGTCTCTATTTAGGCTTGTTCCCTTTTTGGGTTGTATTTGGCCAAAAGGCCCACCATTGTAATTATCCTTTTTTTCTATTTATATATTTGCTTTAAATTCCTAAAAAAAAAAAAAAGATTTTCATACGGACAATATTTCCTGCTTTCTTCACGTGGTGCACTTGACCCTTTTATCAGACTCATATATTGAGGTCAAGCATATAACGTACTAGAAGATTTTATCTATGAATGCTGATCTTCTGTGAATCAATGATCTTCTATGAATCAAAGCCCATAAATACTGTATATCATATTTTCTGCTTCTTCATTGATTACTGAGGTTGTTGAGCAGAAGGTTGGCAGAGTGGATTGATTTACCCTTTCATGCAATCAATGCAAAGATACAATACAATTAAAAAAACGTTATACCTAGTCATTCTTGAGACACTACGTACATCAGAAAATGAAATATA